TAGAAAAAAATAAATTATAAATTTTATTTATCAACCATTTCAATACTGAATAAGAGCAAAAAAAACAATTAAAAAAATTAAATAACTAAAAACTGAATAAAAACATATCAGATTTAATTGGTAAATCCATTAAACATGTGAATTGGATAACTTGAATTAACACATTAAACTTTCAATTTAGATAATGAACTTCATTGGAATTATTGACATGTTTTTTTTTCTAAACTATTATTTATTTAATTATATGATAACAAAAATAAATGATCGTAAAATTAAGTGTCAAACCAATACTAAATTTTTTTTTAAGATCACGATAACCTCATAAAAAATAAAACGAAACAAATCATAAAACTTAATTTTTAATTAGTTCAATAATAAAGGATAAAATTAAAAAAATAAATTTATAAAAGAAGAACAAAAAAAATACACTACTAAACCAGTAAATGAGGAGAACCATAATTACCCCATAAACTGGGTCATTCACTCCACAAATTTTATTAATCTAGTTTTTAAATTATTTTTTATTTAACTGAATTTTTTTTAAAAATAGACATGATGATGAGATATTTTTTATATTATAATAATTATATAAAATATAAATTAAAATAAATTATTAACTTTAAACTTTCATAAACATATACAAAATTAACAAAAAAAAATAATCAAACTAAAAAAAATATTACAAATGACTATTTTAATCCATGATGCTTATGGACGTGGACAAACACTTACTCTAAACTCCTGTAATCATATCATATAAAAACTAAATTAAAAAAATCAACAACAAGGAAAAAAAGTCAAAAGAGAAAAAAAAGAAAAAGAAAAGAAAGTAACACACAGTGTTAACAGATGTGGGTAAACAGTGTCCCTTTAAGCTTTATTTATGGAATATAGAGTGGGATTATGCGTTCACATTCTTAGATCCAGTCAAAGCCTTGTTGTCCAAGCATTAATAATTATAAAGCCAACCATACCTGTAAACCAAAAAACCAACTTTAAGACCAATGTTCACATGGTCTCGAAGATAACTCGTCCCTGTGGCCCCCAGGTCGTATGTTTTGTTTGGAAGAGTCGAAAATGGAAGGAAAGACACAGGGGGCTGAGAAAATTCAAGCGAAAAACTGTCGAAGTAAATTAGTAATAGTCTTTGTTCCCCTCCCTCCATTTAGTTCCCAAACATAGTTTAACACCCTTATCTTTTTTGAACAGTCGAAACTCCAATCTCTGACACACAAATCTAGTGTTGATGTGGCGGCCGCCTCGATCCTTCTTCCCTCTCCTTCCTGGAAACTTCATTATTCAGTATTTTAAGACCTTAAAAATGACTCCGCGCACCCATTTCCTTTAAATAAGCGTGCGTGAACTCCTGCTCAAGAAGAAAATTACTTTGGTTTCACTGAGGTAAACTCCAATTTTCTACTCCTAATATTTGCTCGCATATCGATCTTTTGAGTTTTGATGCTTGATTGATTGTTCTGCAGGACTGTTGATTCTTGATTGATTCCTGAACCATTTAGTTTCTTATCTTGTTTTCTTTCAATTTCCTCATATTGTTCATGGATACCCTTCTACAAGAATACCCAAATTCCATGAACAGATTCATGTTTGACCATGCCTCGGTTTCTTTCTCTTCGAATAGGAATCTTTTTAATGGATATAAACTCAATGATACCATGAGTGATCCAAATCCTTCTTTTAATTCTTTCAATCCTGAACCTCCTAGTGACTCAACATCGTCATCTTCCTCTTCAAATTCATGCTCTGAAGCATATGGTCCAAGCAATAATGTTACTCTCAAGTTCATAAGTGATGTGCTTTTAGAAGAGGACTTGGAGGGTAAGACCTGTATGTTGCAGGACTGTTTAGCCCTCCAAGCTGCCGAGAAACCCTTCTATGATGTCCTTGGTCAGGAATACCCCCATTCGTCGAATCAAATTCTTTCTTGTTTCAATCAAAATTTTGAAAGCCCGGATAATGGTTTTACCTGGAGTAGCGGTATTGATATCAGCAACAGCTATCCTGCTGGTAATAACTTGGTTAAAAAATCCGATTGGATTTTTTATCAAGCTGATTTAGACTTGTATCAAGTGCAAACCTCTCCAGTTCTCCCACTCGGAAGAAGCCTTCTAGGACCAGATCTCCACAGTCCGGTGCACCCTTTTGAGGTGCTCAGCAAAGGGGGAGGAGAAGCGGACAATTTTCTTTCAGGTAATGATTATTTCATGGTATCTTCAAAGAGCAACTCCAACCCTCCGGACAAGGACGAGGGAGACTCCTCACCAAACAGTTCACGGGGAAGAAAAAATCATCAGCGGGAAGACAGTGATGATCTAGAAGAAGAGAGGAGCAAGAAGCATTCTGCACTTTCTCCTGCAGAGTCTGAGCTGTCAGAGTTACTTGATGAGGTGTTGCTTTGTCCAGCTGCACAAAATGAGTCTACTCAATGTTCTCTTCTGGGAAATTCACAAAATGGAGCAGCTGGGAATGAGCAGAGAAAAGGGTCTAATGGTAGAACAACACGAGGAAAGAAAAGGGGAAAGAAAGGAGAAGTTGTGGATTTGAGCTCTCTCCTCATCCAATGTGCCCAGGCTGTGGCAATTGGTGACCAAAGGACTGCAAGTGAGATACTTCAGCAGATTAGGCAACACTCTTCTTCATTTGGTGATGCAAACCAAAGATTGGCGCATTACTTTGCCAATGCCCTTGATACACGCTTAGCAGGCACCACGACACCTACATTTACACTATTTGTAAACCCTAGAACATCAGCAGCTGAGATCTTAAAAGCTTACCAGGTATATGTCAGAGCGTGCCCGTTCAAAAGGATGTCTAATTTCTTTGCCAACAGGACAATTCTGAAACTAGAAAAGAAAGCAACAAGACTACACATCATTGATTTTGGTATTCTTTACGGTTTTCAATGGCCTTGCCTAATCCAGCGTCTCTCGGAAAGGCCTGGCGGACCTCCCAAGTTACGTATTACAGGAATTGAGCTTCCTCAACCAGGTTTCCGGCCTGCAGAAAGGGTTGAAGAGACAGGCCGTCGCTTAGAAAGATATTGTGAGAGGTTTAAAGTCCCTTTTGAGTATATTCCCATAGCACAGAAATGGGAAACCATCAGATATGAGGATCTCAAAATTGACAAAGACGAGAAGGTTGTTGTCAGCTGTCTGTATCGGCTAAGGAACCTCCCGGACGACACAATTGTGGAGAATAGTGCAAGGGATGCTGTTTTGAAATTGATCAACGAGATCAAACCGGACATATTTATCCATGGGGTTGTAAATGGTAATTTCAATGCGCCATTCTTTGTCACTCGGTTTCGAGAGGCGCTCTACCACTTTTCATCATTGTTTGATATGTTTGAGGCTACTGTGCCTCGCGAAGATGAACACAGAATGATGTTTGAAAAAGAGCAATATGGAAGGGATATTATCAATGTGATAGCATGTGAGGGTAAAGCAAGAGTTGAAAGGCCAGAGACGTACAAGCAGTGGCAGTCTAGGAATCTAAGAGCCGGGTTCAGGCAACTTCCATTGGATCAAGAGCTTTTCAAGGATGTGAGGTCTGTGGTGAAATCAGAGTACGATAAAGATTTTGTTGTTGATGCAGATGGCCAGTGGGTGCTACAGGGATGGAAGGGAAGAATAATCTATGCTCTATCAATCTGGAAACCAGTCCAGGAGTAATGCTTAAAAATAGCCAAGAATTACTGGTTTCTTGGATCCTACTAGAAGTTGTTCTACATTGTTATATATGTTAAATTTTACGTCAGATAATTTTAGTATTGATGTAATTTATATCCTAATTCCTAGCAGTGGTTTTGTTCATAGATTTACCCTCATGTATTGAACATTCGTATTCTAGCCAAACAAAAATACATTCAAATTGCAGTCCATTGTATATGTGAATAAAGCATGAGTGCAAGTCAGATACAAGTCTTCATAATTTTCAGTCGACCACGAAATTCAACGCAACGAGTTTTAGTGAAGACGGCTAGATTCAAACACCAAATTGCCAAGCCCGAAACATGGTAATTGAGGTGGACATAGGTGAGAGAGAGAGAGATAACAGTTAACTGAACCACGATTGTAGATGAGAGATGCATTAGCTGCTAATTTCCTGAGGGCATACCATGCCCGTTCAAGAGAATGGCAGGCGTCAACAGCGATCGGAGCCTTTACAAAGGGCTGGAGGGAGGCGCCCACTTCACTTTGGAATTGGATACATTGAAATTAAAGCAGAAAAAATATTTAACCCTTCACTTTTTGGCCTTCCGCAATTTTTTCCTTTAGTGGTTCCGCAGTATTTGTTCATGCTGTGCAGAAAATGGTACATGGATCACTGTGGTTCTTGAGATCCAGTTGCATCTGAAATTCCATTTCATTACACGTGCAAATGTTCCAAGGAGCTCCCTCTAATACCCCACCATACATCGTTCTATATCAAAATGATTCGTAATACTGCAGCAGGGAAAACCTTGTGGCATTCAAGCCCCAAAAATTATCCGATATCATCCAAACAAAATTACTCCAAAACCTAATAGGCACCCGGAGTGACTCCCAACAGAGACCAGAGACCAAAGCAGAATTTCAAAGGAGCAATTGCATAACTACTGGTGATGTTTGGAATGAACAATTACGGTCTATCTGGGAAATTTGAACATGCCTATTTGGTCTCCTTCCAGAACAATCGCTTTAACTAGTTCCCTTCATGTGAAATCCATTATTAAAGCTCAAGGTGCAGAAGCACAATTTAAAGGACCAAGAAGTGGTATTGTACTTGACAAACTAGTTTAATGGAGGAGATTGGCACACTAAAACTTTATGATTTTCAAACAATTTGAAAGTATACAAGGTACATGCAACTGCATTTGCAAGAAAAGACCACCAATCAACCAGTGACATATTGAATGTACATGTCAATAAAGAAGGCTGGACAGAGACAAATAATCCATGCCTTCATGTTTTACAAATTGTGAGAGAGCGAGGAGGCAACTCTTTAACCAACGAATCAGATGGCTCAATAAGAAAATCTGGCCATTAATGATATAACAACAAGTTTGCACAATCTCTTAATTCATTTTGTATAAGTCAATACTCACTAAAAGAGAAAGCTGAAGGGCTAGAAAAGAAGTAAACCCAGTTACAGAAGCAAATGCTCAACCTGACATTAATGAGACAAGAAATTTCATTTTTACCAAGGGAATGACCAACCAATGCTCACCCTCTTTTATTTTGATTGTGTTGACTTTTTGGTCTAAGAACATTCCAGTCCAGCTTGCCACGCTTTGGCTGCTTGAAGGAGCCTTTACTGCTATTGGGTGATGATTGGTGACCATCTTGAACCATTTTCGGTGATTTATTTTGATGTTGTATTTCAGATGCTACTTCATATTGTTTTCTTTTATGATCTCCATTCGCCTCAGAACTTGGTTTGGCACTGTTTGAGCACTCTACTCCATCTGGTGATGATTCATTTTCTCTGAAAATATAGAGAGAAGGAAATGCATATTAGAGGAGAAAATTATCTATAACATGTTGAATTGTAGAAGTCAATTTATTCTGTAAATAATTAAATCACCCACGATCTGTTTCCGTTTGTTTATTTAATCGTCTGACCACTCTGTTTACTCACTCCTTAAACTACAGCTAGTTACTGTTGTAACTCCCCTTCAATCAGAGAGTCAAAGGTAACTAATAAGCGGATGCAAAGAACAAGCTAAACAATCCCAATTCAGATGGTATCACATCTATCATCTGAAATAACTATGAGAAGTCTTGTGGTGCCATCTTGCTATGACGCCACATTTTTAATCAATTGCATAACAGCATCACAAAGAAAAACTTTAGAATTGATATTCCAAGTTATGAATTGACCACTCCAATGGCATCACATGTCCAGCCTTTATCAACTGACAGTTGCTCATCCTGGGTACAAAACATTTTCTTTTCTATTCCATCCAGGTATAAGATTCACAAAAGCAACCATTTTTCTCTACTTCGTAGAATTTACAGTCACTAAAGGACAACTATCAGGATAGAACAAACAAGAATTGAGAAATCAAATTACCCACCTAAAAGATGTTCTTCCACTCTGATGGCTGGAAGTAGAGGCACGTGCATCAGATGCTTCATTTGCTGCTGCTTCATTTAGTTTCTACCAAGATAATGGTTTTGACATGAGGAGAGCAGTGAGCAAATGCCAGAAGAGAAGCTTGGGAAGTGACTATTCATTGAATAAAAATTTACAGGTCACTTGACCTTCATACTCACATCAACAGAGGGATTGAAACTTTGAAATGACATTCGTCCTAAAACTGCTCCTGGGTGAGGATCCCCTTCCATTACTACCACACTGCAAATGTTTAAAACATCAATCTAAGTGATGTACTCCAAGCATAAATCAGTGATATCAAGAGTCACTGGCTAAGCATCTGAGCTGCTCAATTAAGAACCTAGGGATCTCAATTTGCAACATAATGGCCTTTAAACTTGGACAGCAAGTATCACCAAATTATAGCAGATTCAGCAATAACATGAAGGACCTTCATTGAATTACAAGGATATCTAAAATGCTAGTTCAAAACGCCAGTTGCATGTATTAAGCAAGTAGAGGGGCTCAAGTCTCAAGATCTCAGCCTCAATCAATTGCATATATTAAGCAAATAGAGGTGCTCAAGACTCAAGTTCTCGGCCTCAATCAACCTATTACGGTCCTCCATTGTCACAGGTACAAAATCCATGCAGCATGGAACCCAATTATGCAAAATACCCAACTTCAATCCAGTGCCTTATATTTATACCAATGGCAAGCACTATTCAGCAACCAAAAAACCAGAAATTTTTCTAAGAAAATCTTTTTTTTAAGAAATTTCAGATAAAATGCTCTGTATTCATTCCTTCACTTGTTCACTTCAAAAGGTTCCATAGATAAAATAAGCATTAAATAACAAGATGAACAAAAGTCGAAAATCATATGTTTATGCTTAAGCATGCAAATATCCAGTAAAAGCACAAACCAAAACAAACTCATAACCTATAAAATCAACATAAAAAATAACACGTGTAGACATAACATATAAGTTTAAGCATATCAGCTCAAAATTACCACTTCTTAATGGTACCAGGGGAAAAGAAATTCCCATCAGGTTTGACTTCTTCTTCTTGTTTCTTAGTTTTCTCCTCTCTCTGAACTGCTCTTTGCATGAACTATTACTCCAACAAAAGAGAACCCATAATGTAACAAGCTTAGTACTGACCAATACATATTTCACAAAACAATTACACCAAATTCTGATAAAAACAAAGTAAACCCAGATTAGTTTAAGCTAAACCCAACTCAATCCCAAGTTTTTACTTCAAAAAAGAAAAGGCAGCAGAAAACAAACATGGAAGAAACAACAGAAAGTGTTTATTACCTTCAAGTTCTTCAAAGTGCTGGAGAGCTCCCGCTTCGCCATATTTTCCCAGTTGAGTTCTCTTTCAAGACAGCACAAAATAACAATAAGCTTACAAGCTTCCTCTCCTTCTCCGTCTTCCTCTCCCTCTCGCTAAGCCTGTGTAAAGGCAAAGAAAGCAAAGGCAAAAAATTTTCTTGAGTCGTAGAAGACGATCTGAGAATTTTTAGGGCATCAAATCGCGCCCCACCCTTATCGTCCTGGTACTGGTCTTGGTTTGGCCCAGCCCAATAAATTTATATGGGCTAACCCAAAAGGACAGACTCCGATTTTATTAGGATTTTTTTAGAACGAAAAAAGAAACTCTCCTCCTTTCTAAACTCCAAAAGCCAGAGACAGCAAAGCATCGTCTCTTCTTCTTCTTCTTCTTTCACCAACTGGTTTCTCTTTCGCAGCTCACCCAATTTTCATCCATCGTTGCCTAGCATTAAAGGTTTTGATCCAAGATTCCCCTTTTCATTTATTGTTGTTCATAATTAGATGTAATTAATTAATTAAGGTCTTGAACTACATAATGAAGATGGTGAATGATTATTCTATTCAATCCTATCACAATCAACGAAACTCGAGTCTTTTAAATCCAAATTTTATTTCAATTAAAAGAAACTATGTTTATTGTGGTTTTTATGTTACTTAAGTAGCTCCATGTGTTCATCCTGTCCTAAATTTTCATCTTCATGGTAGGCAGCTATATGAGAGAGATTTAGCCTCTCCTTGGAAGTGCAGTCCATACAGGTAGTTCAAAATTTAATTTTTTTTAATATTTTCAAATCATATTCGATATTAAAAATGAATTAAGCTTTATTAATCACGATCGTATATCAGTAGAGATACAAATTCATCAGTACTGCACAAGTTGGTGGTAATTAAGCTAACTAGGCAGTCACAGTTGTCTCCATGGAAACCTTTCTTGTGAAGCTTCTAGCTTCGGACTTGTCATTTGCTTTCCATAGGTCAGACAATGCTTCCTTCATGCTATGAATGCTCTCTAGCGCGTAATCAGCTCCATTTTCTCTGTTGGCTGTGCCCACCTATAACCATGTAGTATTTCTGATTCGTCAGAATAAATATAGATATATAAAATTCTCAGATCGCAGAAGGTGAACAGCATGATAAGAACCACTCAAGAACTTGATTTACCAGCACGGTGTGGAGACCCATTAGCTTCCCGGTCATTATATTACGAACGCTGTCATCGAAGAATACCTCCAGAAAGGAATAGAGTATCAGTAGTGTTGTTATATGTGCATATGGCATGGAAGATGATCGGTAAGGAATATTTTAGAATTGTTAAAGAAACAAGTATCATTATATTCCTGATGCAGTCTTAAACCAATCTGTAAAAATCATACCAGACATGATCTGAATTTCTGAGTTCTTTTGAAATGGTACTTACTGTTTTTTGAGGATTGATGTTGGCCAGCTTAAAGGCCTGCTCAAATGCGTCTTCAAAAGGCTTGCAGACAACTGGAGATTTTTGAAGTGCTGAAACAGGATTGGACTGACAAGGATGTTCAATGATGTCGAGAATTTGGCTTTTGGATGCGTAGCTGGGACTCCAAGGTCCAGTTCCATCACAAGCATTGATGTCGTCGTAATTGAAGGGATTGAGGGTCTCAAAGCATATAACCCCTTCAAAGCAATCCTCCAACCCAAGCCTGCTGAGAACTTTAGCCACATGTGCTTGATCGGCATTTGAGAATATCTATCACATAAAACCCAGAAAAAAAAATTGATCAGAACTAAGAAAGCTTGATTTGTAGTTGATTTTCTACTTGTATTTAATTAGAAGGTAGGTTAAGGTACTTACAACTTTACGAAATGGCAAGCTAAGCAAAAGATTTCTTAGAACATGGTCAGGCTCTAACCTCTCGTATGGCAATCTCCCATGAACAAATCTGTAAACATGAAAATGCAAGTAAGATCGTTTATATAGCAATAATCCATTTTATGTTAAGAAAAACTAAAGCTATATGTGGGGATATTTAACTCGGTACCTGTGGTAGTCATCGTTGTCAAAATCATAACCAATGGCCTAGAAAGAGGAAAGAAATCGCAAGACATCAGTAAAGCGGCTGGATTTTGGTAAAAGGTTTGTCAAGATGATTTCGTTTTTTTTTTTTTTGTTTTTCAAGGACGACATACCTTGAGACCTGCCATGGATGTGCCATAACTCTTGTACAGGACACCATTCATTTGAGAGGCTTCAGTTTCTTCTATACCAAGCTTCTGAATCATGTATTCTAGACAAGGACATGCAGAGTTGATTTGTTATATATGCTCTAATTAATATTAAGGAAGGTGTTATCAATAAGAAGAAATATTTGACGAGGAGTCAAGGTGTAGGCATTGTATGTACCTTGAATATTCTTGGTAACTTCCTCCAACAGACCAGAACTTCGAGGATAAAGCGTATCATCAACATCTACAAACAAGACACGTTTCATGTGATGATTTTATTAATACATGGGCTATGGATTATGAACTGTCAGAGACTGTCTGCTTGAATGAGGCTTGCTTACCGAAGAGAAGACAGTCATATTTTGGTTTCAAACCTTGCTGACACTGATCTTCGTACGCCATTTTGATAAGATAAAAAAGAAATCTGAAAAAAAAAATGGTAGGAAATAATTACTTAATCTGACAAACATCGTGTCATCGATTCTGAATTGAGTTCTTAGAATTGTGGAGCTAATTGACTCCATTAATGCATCAAGCACACGGAACGGACCACATTCAAATCTGATCTGGTGACGATTATATAAATAAAAATAAATAAATAATCAGACTTGAAGATTTTATCCTCGTAGCTTTGAAAATGTCCATGGGATGCACCAGTTCAAAGCCTCATTCCATCTTAATGTAAACACCAACCTTGCGTATATATGCAATTAGTGTTGCAAGATAAATTTAGGAACAAGTACCTGAAAGAGAGAAAAGGGGAGCTAGTGTGTCTGTGTGTGTGAGAGAGAGAGAGGAGAGCTGAAATTGAACGGTGAAATCAATGAAGGAGTTGGGACAGAAAGGAGAGCAGAGATAATGGGGAAGAAAGCCAAAGGCTTTAGCATGTATTTATAATGGTGCGAGGAAGAGAACAGAGACACCATCTCTGTTTCTTACCAGGTCCAACGTCCAGAAACCAGAACATGACCAGCTTCGGTAAATTGAAAAAACACAGCAGCTTCTTTTTGACTCCATAATGAACGGAGAAAACTTTCTCATGTAGAAAGGTCTCGAGCATCATTATTCCTTCTTCCAAATCATACGCATTGTATATGGAAGATCCTTTTCGTTAACATTTCTTGCATCATTTTGAGGATATTAGCTGTTTATATCCATCGATGATCAATAAAAGAGGTACATTTCTTGAAAGAGGTACATTTCTTGCATCATTTTGAGGATATTAGCTGTTTATATCCATCGATGATCAATAGAAGAGGTTACGAAACAAGACTACTATTGTTTCAGGTGGTTTTGTGATTTTATTAAAAAAATAATTTAATTAAAAAGAATAAATGATTTAACCCATGAACTATAGTAAATCTCTTCACTGATTGAAAGACTTTGATAAGAGTTAATCTAGTTTAAAAGATAATTTTTTTCTTTAAATATCTTATCAAAAAGTATTTCATATGCATTATAAATTTTTTTTTTTTTTATTATTTACATGGGATGTCCAAGCCAGTTTGTGCGCACCACAACTAATCTCCACGGCCCACTAAATACCCTGCAAACCCAGTAGGCATATAAGGCACCACGGGGGTGACAGGCGTGCACGCCAGGACTCGAACCCAGGTGCAGTGGAAGGAGACAAGTCCCTTCCACTACTAGGCCAAGCACTGATGAAACTTATGATATGAGCTTTCAATTAAGAAATTATAATTCAAAGTTTTTAGTTATACTAGGCCAAGCACTGATTTGCTTATAATATGAGCTTTCAATTAAAAATTTATAATTCAAAGTTTTTAGTTAAATTCTATTTATATTCTCTTTTTTTTTTTCAAATAGATATCAATGTTTAAATATTTCTCCCTTGGATTCAATTTATGTGTTGATTTTTTAACTAATGATAAAATATTATTGATTAAAATTTAAATGCATTGACACAGAAACAATTTGTGTGGATTAACCATAAAATTAATTACATCATTTAAATACTTGTAGTATAATAATATGTACAAGTCAGTAGGTGGGTGCTCGGTGACCAATCGTTTTCTTTATATAATGTTCTTCCTTAAAATAATAATAATAATAATAATGTTCTTCTCTTTATCATTTATATCGTAATGGCTGAGTTGGTGAATAGCCTGAGATTCAAGAGAAATGTTTTTTTATGGTCTCCCATTCAAATTTCTTTGTCCATTAATATTAATAAATACGGATGTCAAAAATATGCTATATTATTAAAAGCCTTGTTTAGGGCAAAAAAAAAAAAAGATTGAATATGGTGCGTGCAAGATGACTTGTGATTTTATTATTATTTTTTTGGAGAAAAAATTATATATGTGGTCTAGGGTTAATCATGAGATTATAAAATGGAAATAAAAGCGCAATTTAATGTTTTCATACGTGTTAGCATCAATAGTTGGAAGGAATCCCTTTATTTTCCTGATAAATTTATTAAACTATTTTGATGAATGAAACATGTGCTTGTTATTTTTTACCATAAAGTATTTTAAAGAGTGTTTAAAAATGTGATGTAAATTATATTTTTTTAAAATTTAATTTTTTTATTGAATTTTTTCATATATTTTTGGATTATTTTCCACGCATACTTTAGACAAGAAAAATTATCTTTTTCTTTATTATATTTTTAATAAGTCAAACTAGTTAATTAATTCTCTTATATATATAGACCCCACGCGTCGTTGGTCCATTTTAGTCATTCTAGTTCTAACGATTTGTTTATGTTTCCTGAGTTTTGCCATGGATTCACATTTCTTTTTGAAAGTACACGTTCCTTGAGGGCCATCTGGGTCCCGAGGGTCATCGAGAACAAAATCAAGGTAATATTGTGATCTACAGTAGAAAAGTCTTGCATTACCGTAAGGATACTACTCTTCTGTCTATAGCTTAAAAATCAAATGAGTTTGCCTTGAGAGGTAAAGTGGTATCTGCATGATGTTAATTTGTTGTTTTTTATTTGCTTGGGGTAATAATTTTTTTTATTTTTTTATAACAGTGCAATTATCGTCTTGATCTTAAAAGTTAAAAATCAAAATTTTTGGTATAAGAGCTTATAGTACTTGCATTTTAAAATAACCAGTTTAATTATTTCATTATCCTTAACTTTTGATTTTTTTTAGATTTGATTTTTTTATTGTAATTTCATAATGATTCTTTTTTGTCATTATTATTTATTCTAAAGGTATTTTTATTTTTATACAACTAAAAAAAAAAAAATTATTGATGCATGTCTTACACTTGTTGCTGCTTTGCCCCTTTTAAGCAACATGCGATGTTGACTACGATAATTTTAATTGTGATTTCACAACATCATCTAATTCATTTTGATTTTCATTTTTTTTTAAAAGTGATGCATGTATGGTGGTTTAGTCTAGTTTAACATCAATTTGTTTTTTTCTTTTTTTCTTTTCCTTCCTTTTTTTTTTGGATTGCAAACTGGTCAAGCAAAATTATATCAACCCTTTAATTTTTTTTTCTTTTGATTTAGTCCATCATCTCTTATTTTAATTACATTGATTATTTTTAATTGGATTTTATTTTCAGTTCCATCTTGGTCATTTGTTTTTTTTAGTTTTTTTATCAAATTTAATTTTTATTTTTTTATTTTTTATTTTTTTTTGAATTATTTTCTTAATTGGTTTGTTTTTTTTTTCAATTCCATCCCTAAGCATTTATTTTCATTTAATTTTTATGTCAAACTTGGTCCTAATTCTTTTAATTTCTAGTTTTTTAAAATTATTTTCTTAATTGAGTTTCTTTTTCAACTATATCCCTAAAAACAAATTTCATTTAATTTTTCCTAAATGTTTAATTTTAGTTAGTTTTTATGTTGAATTTAGTCATAATTCTTTTAATGTCTATTTGTTTTTGTTTTACATTGTATTTTTAGTTGATTATTTTTCTCAATTTCATCCCTAAATATTTGTTTGATTAAAAATCTTACTTCTTTGTTTTCTTGGATTTGCCTTTAATGATGTCATACTGGCCTCATGACCCGGGTCATAGATTTAAAAGATTAACTCGAGTCAATTTTAATTTTTTAGTAGTTTTTAATATTTTTTTTAGCCAATATTTTTTCACTTTCCTGTTTATGAATCATCCTACTTTCATATTCTAAGTCATATTGTTGACTTAGGTTAGCTGCTGGATTTGCTTGAGGCTTTTTTTGTTATATATATCTCCATCATATTGGCTGATGTTCATTTCTTACATTTTAAATTCAACCTAAGTTACTTTAAATTTTTTTTCTACCTAATCAACTCGATGACCTGAGTGTCAAATTTTCTTTAAGTTTTTTAAAACGCTAGCATCATATGACTTTTTTTTGGCATTTAGGATAATTTTTGCCCGCTTACAACATAGCAATTAACCCAGGTTTTGAAGATTCAACTTACTTTTTATCTTTTTTTTATTATTATACTTTGTTATTGTTTACTAGTTTTGAAAATAACTCAGACTATCTCAGATTTTTAAATTTATCATTTCTATTAAATTTATACCTTTTTTAAAAAGGGAGTTTGATTTTAAATTAAATTAAATTAGTTGCTCTATTTATTTTTTATATATTGTCCAACATGTCACATCTTCATATTTGTTCTTACTATTTTTTAAAAGTTTAGAAGAAGAAAAATAAGCTCACTTACACCATGGATCAAATTATTTTTTTCTAACTAAAAAAAATGTTGAGATATTAGAAAGTCTAAAATTCATACATACTAGAAAACAAAAACTTATTAAATACTAAAATTAAAATATATTGGATGACATCTTGTTTTAAATATTAGGTTACATGACTAGTTGTGATTTCTAAAAGCAACATCACACCACCTAAGGGTTTATTTTAAATTATAGTAATGGTTGTGATTCAAAATATTTTTCATTTAAAAATATATTAAAATAATATTTTTTTATTTAAAAAAATTATTTTTAAGATTAGTATATCAAAATAATCTTAAAACATTAAAATATAATTTTTAATAAAAAATTAAAATTTAAAAGAATATAATTTTAAAAATACATGATTGAAATCAGACTCCCCAGCAAGAATTGAGAGGCATGAGAGGAACCGCAGACAACGTTAACAAGGAGCAAGTCTATGTTCAAACATGGTGTGTGAGAGAGGGAGAAAAGCTTTGATCTCTCACAATTATTCTGGGGTTGGTATTTATAAAAGAAAAAAGATGTTCTTGATCACGCACGTCATCCATGTTCAAACAGTCAAATCTGAGCAAAACAAAGAAATTGGATTCTTTTGGTAAATTGCTTCAACGTCCTAGTTAGGTTTAAATCAAACATAACTCTTAAATTTTCTGATAAAAAGTTTCTGCTCAAGAGAGAAATTTTTTAAGCGAGAGGGAAAAGAGGAATTTTTTAGAGGAAAGGTGAAACGACTTCCTTAGACGGAGAGCGTGCTGTCGGAGCTATATCTTCTCTGTTCACCATTGGATCGTCCTCATTTCCAAGGATGTTGTTCGTCAGAACCTACTGTACATCTTGACCGAACGGATCTGCATTCCAATCAGGGAGTTGGGAGATACTGATATAGACACCAGTCATAATTCACACGTATCCATCCTTGTACAACCCAAACCTTGTACTAGAACGTAGCCTATCACCAATCCATTCAAAATGGATTAGTACTGCATTCCAGTGCTTGGCCTAGCGGTGGAAGGGGCTTGTCTCCTTCCATTGCGCCTGGATTCGAGCCCTGGCGTGCATGCCTGTCACCCCCGCGGTGCCTTACATGCCTATTGGGTTTGCAGGGTATTCAGTGGACCATGGGGATTAGTCGTGGTGCGCGCAAGCTGGCCCGGACACCCCATGTAAATAAAAAAAAAATGGATTAGTACTTAATAAAATTAAATAATAATTAATTAATTTTAGAGATAAATCGAGTATATATATTTATCCCTTGTTTAAATAACTTTTTTTATATTATAATGGATACTCTACTCAATTTATATATATTTCAACTAATTTTATAAGTTATAAAATTAATAATCAAATCTAGTAATTCTAAAAAAACTTGAGCTTATAAATATTAAAAAGCAAATTTATAATCTAACCAATTATATATTTTTCATTATTCTACTTGTTAAGGGTTATTGTAATTGAGAAAATTAGAGTTACAAAAATGATTTAGCTTAAAATTCCTACAAAAACAAATGAACTTGTGCTAGCCGTATGTACGGCTTGCAGGATGAGACTAATGCATCATACATCGTAAAGTATGACTTGTTCATTTTATTAGCATAAAACACTCAATGATTACAAGAGCTAAGAACAAGCTCATAACATATGTCGATTGATATATTAAAAAATGACATGTGCAAGATATATGTATTAAGCTGTTTGGTATATATAGGTTTTATCATAACCATTACTCATTCTTTTGTTTCCGCCTCCTAGTGCCTTTGTTTTTGTCGCCGGTGGCGGAGGGCCTGGCATGAAAATATTCCTTCCTTGTAAATATTTAATAAAAATAATTAAAAAAATTTCTGAGCCCTCTAATTTATAATTTGGTTTTCCCTTTTTTTTTTTTCATTCCACCCTGCCGTGGCTAGTTTTAATAGCATTAATTTTCAAATAATTTTTCATGTTAAAATAAATATTAATAATATTTTTTTTATTTTTTAAAAATTATTTTTGATATCAAGGAAGTAAAATAATTTGAAAACACTAAAAATATATTAATTTAAAATTAATAAAAAATAAAAAATTAATTTTTTTAAAAAATATTTTTATAATGGAGAAACAAACAGGGCCATAGAAATTTCCCTAGGATTGCCCGCCTTTAGCTCTCCATTAGTTGAATACATATAAGAAAATAATGATGCTTCAATAAATTGAGACACGTGGCTCTCAGAAGGTGCCCAGCTTGCACAAGGAATGAAGACGTTCATCTTTCTTCAATACCCTTTCATATACTAGTGTTTAAAGGAGGGGATCAAATCATACTCTTGGAGAAGAGGCCTCTCAATTAATTAGTAAGTGACAGAACGCATCAGCATCCATGGTATAAAAGCATGTCGGGCCCCCCCAAGTTTAGAAGGAGATGTTGTCAAGGGCCTTGAGAGTAGTCGATGTCTAATTCATAAGTCTCTCATCAATGTATGAATCTCGCAAGGTGGTAAGCGGTATGAGATTTAACAAGGAAACATTATCAATGAGGATCTTGTAAATGGGGCAAATCATTCACTTTACTCTCCACGTGATGTGGATACTTATTGTTAGTCTTCTCCACACAGTAATTAGCATCGGTGAAGAGCATGCCATTCTCATTATTTCTTACCATGTTTCCTACTATATATATAGTTCGCAATAAAACTTAACCTATATATATTGTCACTTGGATATCTAGATAATGGCTATTGTATTTGCTTGTTTGTGTTCCTTATCAAAACCTAAAATATTATCAAAAATGAAAAAAATTCAGAATGTTCAGTAAAGACTATGTAATGGTGCAGCTAGGAGTAACCAGATAGACTTCATGCTTGCCGAAGTCATCTTCCCTCAACTCAACAAGGTTCTGAACAATAGCATGCACTTAGTCGTGATGGCGATGATGGTATCGTAGCAGTAGCTTTTCTTGCACATCACCCTCATTATCAAGAGCAATTTCTATTTTATTTTTTTAGTTTACCATGGAATAAGAATTTTAGGATATCAATCATGGCCTAAAGGCGGCTATAAGATCGTCATATTAGAGACCTGGGCAGTGGGTCGAGGCACGCCACCTCTTAAGGGCACTGTCAAACTGCCATTGTTAGTTAAGGGGACTTGGCCTACGTGTCCATCCTTAACATGGAGAAGGTTGACATGTCAATATTGTTGTTGGGATCTAGCAAGGTCCCATCATCAATACACACAAGAGATTAACATTCTTCGTTGAGGTCTTAGAAGGGGTTTCATGATCACTAACTCTCCAGTGAAGTCGATAAACTACAGGTAAGGGTTTTTGAGAACAAGGTAAAGACAGGTCAACATACCACGAGCTAGTTTTGTGACTTGAAAAGGCAATGGCACACCAGCAAAGTAAAAGGAGTGAAAGTAGCAAGAGACATGTGAGGAAGAGCAAGCAGTGCTAGGAGCAAGTCAGAGTGGTAGGCAAGTGGGTGAGTAGTCAATGTCCAAACAGATTGAGCTTTAAAAGATAAGTGATGGGAGAGTGGGAGAGCTTTGAGAGAGTTTTGTTTAGCAAGATATCAAGACTCCACAAAATATCCCTTATAATAGTTGTGAGGTTGATATTTATAAAGGAAGGTGGCTAGGATCACGCGCATCATCAATGTTTAAACTGGACAGGGAAATTGAGTTTTTTTGGGAATAAATTGCTTTAAATTGTTAGCAAATGATAAATAAGGTAATAATCAGGCATTTCTTTAACAAGCATTGCTCCGAGCCTACCAACCTAATCTCCCTACTATATGCTAAGTTATAATTTGCTAATACGTACGTGCTATGATCCACGATTAGCGTGGGTTTAATGTACCGAATGATATTATTACATCAAAATGGACTAAAGATGGATTTTGATAGAGTTGTATGGAAGTGATTTGATTTGTCTCCACAACACCGACTAGCAAATTGTAGCTGAAAAACAAGGCTTTCTTCCATTAGAAGTTAAAAACATTAAAATCCTGTCTTGTTTGAAAGTTGTGGCATCAGATTTGGGAGACAATGAAGGATTAATCATATATTTTTGGTTCCTCTCTTTTTCTTTTTTTCTTTTTTACATGCTATCAATAATGGAAGTTGGTCTGAGAAACCAAAAAAAAATCTTAAAGCAGAGGACAGCTAATAAAAAAGAGGAGGAATCATGGCGAGAAAGTGTCAAAGAGTACAAGAACCAGAAATGTATATGATTAATCCCCAAAAGGAGTGTACAAATTAACATCAACTGAAACACATGGTTGAAAGTCAGCTTGCCAATTCAATTCAATTCAAGAATCATGACCCAGGGAATAGAGAATCAATACAGGAATTTTATTTTTGTTTTTGTTGCTAGCTAGACCATGAGTTTGGCTCAGAAAGGCACGATAATAACAAAATATGACGACGACTAAAGAAGTGGGGTCAACATATTATTTCTCCAGGGATGAATGGGGGGTGGAGCAGCACGGTAGCTTGGTGTTGCTTTTCTCCTGAGAATTTTGAATTAAAGATTACAATGATCACAAATGGCCAGTATACAAAAAATTCATTTGCCTAAGAAGAAAGAGGAGCAGATTACAAATTTTATTGTACAAACGCACTAATGTCCCCATGGTTAAGCCGGTACGACCTCTATGGGTGATGATTGGTCTTCATCCCCGTCAGTAGTACTTGCTGGTGTTTCGACTTTCTCCTCTTCCTCTTCAAACCCTTGCTTAAATATGTCATAATTTGAGGCCTCACTTGATTTGAATGGCCGCTCGCCCAAAATTCGAATCAAGTCTTCTTGGTGAAGAACTTCCTTCTCGAGCAACAACTCTGCAATCTGCGCCACCTGTTCTTTGTGCTTTTCTACGAGTTGTAACGTATGGCCATAGGCCTTGCCCACCCATTCACGCACTTCACCGTCAATAATTGCTCCTGTCTCGTTGCTGTAGGGCTTGGTCATCTCAAACGAGTCCTCCTTTTGTGGGAAAGAGAGGAGACCAACCTTGTCACTAAAGCCATACACTGCAACTTGGGCGTATGTCATTTTCGTCACCTTTTCCAAGTCATTTTGGGCTCCAGTTGAGATTTTCCCCAACAAAACCTGCATCCAAGAGAAATCCTATGCATCAGCTTCATAACTAAGACCCTGGGAGCATTCAACTGAGTTGTTCATCAATTTACCAATTTTTAGTTTCCCTCGCCCCTTTATCCAATTCCAACTGTTTTAAAAAAGATGCATGTGAAGGGGATGAGGGTTGTTTTAAACAAACACTAGCAAACCACAGTTCAATGCTGCCAATGGAAAGGACAGCATTTCATTTCATTTGAGCATATGACAATTCAACATTATCTGTTGAGGAAAGGACAGCATTGTAGATACCTGTTCCGCTGCTCGGCCACCAAGTGTCATGCAGGTCATATCAAAGAGTTGCTCCTTGGTGAAGAGTAGGTTTTCATTTGGAACATACTGGGCAAACCCCAGAGCAGCTGTTCCTCGTGGGACGATTGTCACTTTCAAAAGTGGTTCTGCATGTTCCAAAAACCAGCCAGCAACAGCATGACCTGATTCATGATAAGCAACCGTTCTGCGTTCAAGCTTGCTTATTACCTGATTTGACAAAACAGGAACATCAAAATTGATCATTATAGCTCTCAAAACAAGAGGAATGCAAAAAGAATCACCATTATTCTGCCAATTAAGGATCCTCGCCCACAACTGGGACTCCAGATGCTAGAGAATCCTCTAACTAAATTACATCAGACAGCTCAAATGCAACAAATAAAGAAAATTTACCTTGTTCTTCTTCTCCAAACCACCAATGACTCGATCTACAGCTGCCTCAAAATGTTCCATTGTAACCAGTGATCCTTCACTCCTTGCAGCAATTAGAGCAGCTTCATTACAAACATTTGCAATGTCTGCTCCAGCAAATCCAGGAGTAAGAGCTGCAAGCCTTTGAGAGTAATATGATGGCTCATGATCAAGTTTGATCTTTTTCAAATATATTTGAAATATCTGGTCACGGCCTTTAATATCAGGTTTGTCAATGCAAATTTGGCGGTCAAATCGCCCAGGCCTCAACAGAGCTTTATCTAAAATATCAGGCCGATTTGTACCGGCAAGTACAACAACTCCAGCAGTAGTTCCAAAGCCATCCATTTCTACAAGCAATTGATTAAGGGTACTTTCCCGCTCATCATTAGAACCGGAGAACCCACCACGCCCCCTAGCCCTCCCGATCGCATCAATCTCATCGATGAATATGATACTAGGAGCACACTGTCTTGCTTCTTGAAACAAGTTTCTCACCCTGGATGGTCCAACACCAACAAACATCTCCATGAAATCTGAACCAGATATAGATAGAAAAGGTACACCAGATTCCCCAGCAGTTGCCTTTGCTAGAAGGGTCTTTCCAGTTCCTGGAGGACCGACCAAAAGAGCACCTTTTGGAATCTTCGCACCTAGCTCCTCGTACTTCTTAGGGCTTTTGAGGAAGTGCACAAATTCCATGATCTCTTGCTTTGCCTCATCACAACCAGCAACATCTTTGAAATAGATCTGCAGTCCCAAAATGATAGGAGAAACAACAAATTATAATCAATATCTTTCAAAATAAGCTTCATGCTAATACATGGGTACTGCAATAAATTGGTAAATTGCTATATTTAACAAAACAAATGGAAAGCTAACCTTATTCTTGGAGTTTTTATCTGCTTTGGTTACATGAGCCTTCCCTATGTTGAATATTCCACGGCCACCCTTTCCACCACCACCACCGCCAACACCTAATCCACCTTGCATTCTCCGTCCCATGTACATGAGGGTTCCCAAAAGCAATAGTGTAGGTGCAAACCTCATCAGTTCTTGGTACCAAACCATTTCAGAGGCATATGTAACTGGAACATAGTTATGAGGGTCTATCCCCAATGCTTCTTGGGCTTCCTCCAACTTCTCCTCGAAAGTGTCAACACTTCCAATAGTAAAGTAGTACTTATGTTGGCCCCCGTGACCTCTAGCAGGGACACCATTAACTGGACCTTGAACAATATCATCACTCGTTTGATTCTGTGCTGAGCTCTTCACATACACTTTTGCAACTGATTTATTAGAAACAACAATGTGATCCACTAGCCCCGGCTCCAAAAGTCTGTTTTTGAACTCTTGGAAACTAATCTGTCAAGAATAAAGTACACGGGGAGAAAATTTAAGAAACAAATGAACTTGATGAATTCATATTAGGACCAAATGAACATGGAAAAGACAAAAAAAAAACACACACACATTATGAATTGCATAATATTATGCCATGCAAAAACAAAACCACAAGTAGACAGGTTCCATAAGAATTGTTCAAAGAAATAAAATGCAAGCAGGTTAAATAAGGAAACCTATCACCTAATATTCAAACCTGAATGATATCGATGAAAAAACAAATGAACTAATTACACGTATAATTAAAATCAAGTAGTTGATGCTTAGGAAACCACATTAATTGGATGCTAACTGCCAGTTGGTATTATGAAGTTAAGATGATGGATCCAGGTTTGTTGGCATAAACCACTCTAGCTAAGCAAATCATTTGGTTAAAAGACACAAAGTTCTTTAGCAGATAGAACCGTACATATTAAATTGCAAAAGAAGAGGTTGTTAGGCAATTTTTCCAAGTGGACTGTTTTGAGTTCCCTTCAGCGGTAGTCATTATATTAGTAACTTATGGCTCTGCTTCAACGAGATTTTTACTGTCAGATCCACAATTTCTCCTGCAGAGGAATATGACATTCTTCCTCAGAGCTATCAGGACACAAATAATTGATCCTTTCCAAAATATACTATGAAAAAGAAAAGAAAAACATTCTCAAAAACTTCACTTGGACTACATTCCTTTTAATATGTCAATTTTGTCTGTTATTTCCGTAACTTCAGCAACAATACATTGATACATTGGTTAGTTTAGATGATCCTACTGATTTAGAAAACAATTCTGAAGTGCAGTTGAAACTGACCCGAATATAGTTTGGTACACAGAAAAAATAAATAACATGAAAAAGAAGAAGCTTTTAGCATGCCAAGCCAAAAAGTCTAATAGGTGTGGAAGCAAAAACAGCATAAAATGGTGTGAAGGTTATTATTACTGCGATTACCTGTTGCTTGTCACCATCACCAAAAGAGAAGGGATAAAAAAGCAGCTGAGCCACAAATAAAGGGGCAAGTAAATAGAATGCCTTCATGAATGTTCTCTTATTAAAGTCTGACTCGTCATGGTCTGCATTCGAAGAATTCTCTGAAATTGAAGAAAGCAAGAATCAATAAAAGGCAAATTGGTTTAGGGCTTGCCCTCCAAAATAAGAAATCCAAAAAAATTACCTTTGGATTCAGATTTCTGCTTTTCCCCTTTCGGAACTTCCTTCTTTCCCTTGGGATAGAAATTCTCATAATCTGCAAATCAATAAAAAAGTCTCCAGGAAATGATAAATGTCTTACTGACTTCCAAACAAATCTTATTAAGAGGAAAGCAGAAGCTTACTCTTCTTCTTAGGAGCTTCAGTGGAGAAAAAGCGTCGGATTCTAGGGTTTGCAAGAATGGAATTTAAATCGGATAAAAAAGGATTATGAGTTCCTCTACTTCCAATTGAAGTTAAATAACCTCTCAGCAACCCTAACCCTCCTCTTCCATCGATGAACCCTCCTTCTATGTTGTTAATAACCGCCGAGGATCTCAAAACACCGCCATTTCCAGCACGCAGTGTATTCTATTAATGGAAAAAAAAAATCAATCGATCATCTCAATACAATTCAATTCAAGCACACCCAAAAGAAAAAAGAACTTACAATAGAGCGGGAGGATCGAGAAAGAGAACGGCCCAGCTTCGAAAATATCATTATTTCTGGATCATGTAAAATGAACGATGCTTAGGTAAGAAATCCGGGACCTTTATATTTTTGGAATATAATGAGGAAAAATATATTCGTGCAAGGTCTGGTTTCCTGGTTTTATAGGAGAAATAGATGGGATGGCTATGGGATATTTCGGCAATGGGCGGGCAGGGATTGTTGAGGTCAGCCAAGGCGTTAGATTTTTAACTGGACTCCTTGCTAAACAAGACAGACCCATGGATATATTCAATTCGCACCCACCTCCAGTCTATATCTATTTTTTCAAATTAGAAGAAATATATCACTAGTTATTATTAATTAATTAATTAATTAATTATTAAAAAGAATATATCACTTTTCCCCTCTTTATCAATTATTGTCCAATGGAACAGTACTTTGTTTTTTCTATTTAATCATTATATTTATAAAGAATTAAATTTTATAATTTATTTTAATTTATTTTTTATAAAGTTATCTCAGTTTTATAACTCAAGTCATAATTTTTATTGGTTAATTAAGCTTACTCAAGTTTTTTTAGTTTTTTTATAATTAATTTTTTTTAATTTCATGTTTCACTATTTAAGTTGATTATAAATTAAACTTCATAATTATTTCAATTTATTTTTTATGAAGTTATCATAATCTCATGATCTAGGTCAAAAGTTTGGCAAGTTAAATCAGGATAACTCGGGTTTTTTCCATTCTTTTTTAATTATTTTTTTTTAATTTTATTATTCAATGCTGGATTAATGAGAAATTGAGTTTCATGATTTGTTTTAATTTGTTTTTTATTAAGTTATTTTGATGTTATGATTCAAATTTGTCAAATTGACTTGTTTTTTTTTTTTTTATGCAAGAGAAGAAGTGTCTAATATACACAATGTTTTTCATTTATAATGCAATAGAAGAAGTGTCTATATTTTTTTAATGTTGAAAGTTTTTAATTAAAAACTGGAAAGATGATATATGTGTTTAATAATATGAATTTAAAAATATATAAATTGGTAAATTGTAAAAAATGTTGCTTGCGCTAATTAAAGATTAAAATGAAAAATTAATATGATTTTGTAAAAAGCAAGAGATAGATACCAATACAAATATCTAAATACATGTTGTGAGGTTCTTTTCATTATTTTAATTAATTTTATAAGAAAATGATTTAAATTTTATACAAAAATGTATTTTCATTCAGAATTAATGTTTTTTCTTACTTAAAAAATATTTTTTATTAGCAATATAATTTATTGGATAAAAAATAAAGGTAATGAAAATAAATATTTTAAAAAAATATATATTAATTTTAATTAAGAAAGAAAATATATATCTTAAATTGAAACACATTTTCCTTATTCATTTGTTCTTCTTCTTCTTCTTTTTTTTTTTTTTGAAAAATCAAAAAATGCATGTCTCTTTTACAAGAAAGATTGTTGTTTAAATAAAAACTTATCATAATCATAAAAAAAAAAAATCATGATTCCATATTTTTTACTGAAATGTATCAAAGAAATATAAGATAGTCAATTTGGGAGAAATTATATAAAAAATCACAATAATAAGATAATAAAATAAATATTTTATTCACATTTTTAAAAAAAATATTTTAAGTTTATGTATAATTATTCAAAAATTAATTATTGATATTACTATAAAAGTTTTTAATATTGTTTGAAAAGTGTGGCATAACTAGATAATTATTTACATATAAACCTAATAAATGTATTCAAAAACATTTTTATTATAAAATATAAAAATAATAATCAAATAACAAAACTCTAAATGCTATTTTTCAAAAAAGACAATCTACTAGAAGGACATGCATTTATGCCTAATAAAAATTCAGATGCTTGGGTCTAGAAAATCCACATGCCTAACCTTTTTTTTTTAATGAAAAAATGGATGCAATATTAAGTTTTATTTTAATAAAATGAAATAGATGACATAATCAACTACCTAAAAAGACCATATATCATCCACCTACAGGTGACTTTGATCATTAAAAAATCAAGATTCAAATTATATGATCCTATAAATCTGTATTTAAATTTTTTTTTAGCTAACAACATTAAAATAACATCATATAAACATCTAAAACTCCATTTATTGTACAAAACACATTTCAAGAGTTTTCTCTTATTGAGCTCTCTATTTACTTAAAAACAAAATTGTAATTTGGTCATTCAAAAGCTTTGGCTCTTCTTATTTTTTGTTGATTTTCTCTCTCATCTCTCAACATCTAGAAACTAAAAAATAAAAAATAAAGTTTAGAATCAAATCATAAAAATTCAAACAACAAAGATTAAAGATAGAAAAAAGAAAAAAGAAATTTAAGGAACCAAATTCTATTTCCCTCGCCTTTTAAACAACGTACACGAGAGGAGATTTTATTTTTTTTAATTTTATTTTGGTTTTTGATTTTTAAATTTTATTTTATAAAAACAATCTTTAATTTAATGTAACAATCATATACACATATCAAGTATGTGAGAACATACAATTTGAAATGGATTACAATATATAAAACAATGCATATATAAATTGCAATTGTCATAACCTATTTTTTAGTTCCTTTCTCCCCTTAAATTTAGTTTTTTCCATTCAAAAAATAAAAGTAATAATAACAAAAAGACCGGTAACTTAGCAAAAACATGTTAAGCAGCGTTTCAAATATGTAAAAGAATCAAGCTAGAATTTTGAATAAAATTATGAGTCTAATCATACCTCATTGTATTCAAGACTGAAAAGACAGTATATATTCAAGGTCAAATTAAATTATATACACATATCAAATATATAAGAACATACAATTCGAAATGGATTATAATATATAAAACCATGCCTATATAAGTTGCAATTATCATAACTTATTTTTCGGTTCCTTTTCTCCCCTTAAATTTAACTTTTTCCATTTGAAAAATAAAAATAATAATAACAAAAAGGCTAGTAACTTGGAAAAAACATGTTAAGCAGGGTTTTCAATATGTAAAAGAATCAAGTTAGAGTTTTGGATAAAATTATGAGCCTAATCATACTATATTGTATCCAAGATTGAAAAAAGAATACATATTCAAGGTCGAATTAAATTATTATTGAATGAATCCATATAAAAATTAAGTTTAGAAACCTAATTAGATTTTTAATAAGCTAATTTGATTTAATTATGGGCCGAATTAAGAGTTTATTTATGTTTAAGAATTAATTTGGGTCAAATTAGAAGATTTAATTATGTGCAAAGACTTAATTATACTTTTAATGAGTTAAATTAATTTTATTAGGGACTTAATTGTTAAGAAATTAAGTTTAGGAATCTAATTTGAGCTTAATCGAAAAGATTAGAATTTTAGAGGACCAAATTCAATTTTTACAAAGTCAATTGATTTAAATTATGGACAAATTTGCAATAAAATCAAAGATTAGAGTTAAATTGAAGAAATTCATTGTTGGTATTGAAATTTGGTGAGGGTAAAATCGCATAAAATTAAAAGTTTAAGGTCAAATAGGAATACAATCAAAAAAATTAAAAGCCGAAGGAATAAATTAAACTTTAGTAAAATCTCTAATTAAAACCCTAAGAACTTCAAAATGGCGTTGTTTTATTTAAATGAAATGTTGCATTTTGACCAAAACAAGTTGTTTTGGTACAAAATGATGTTATTTTGACTAGTATATAAACAAAAAAAAGAGACATCTAATGACTTGTTGTCTACCTACTATTCATCATCTTCAACTTTTTGCACTTGAAATGCTGCTCAGTTGACTACTTTTCAAGAGCATTGAATGTGTCATCTCTTCACTAAATTAGACAAACAAGACACCACTTTGATGGCCTAATATCGTAGTACACCCTAATGTAATTCTTATCAGCTGATTGCTCTAGAATCATCACGTCACCACTCCAAAAGGCTAACCCGATTAGCCTTCAGTAACCAAATTTTTATAGCTCATGATTATGTCTTTAAGTTAACGATTGAGTTCCTTCTCGTTTGCATTAAAGGTCAATATTGGTTTTCAATAAAAACAAGATGTTCCTTTTTCACCATCTATAAGTAGGAGTAAATTTCGGGCATAAAAAGGCAAGAAAAAAAAGAGAGAAAAGAGAGCTAGAAAATCATTATTTTCATGATTTTTTATGTTCCCTCTCAATTCAATCTCCCCACATCTTCTCTTTACCACCAAACTATCTTCCTGCCATTTTTTCCTTCAGCAACACCAACCTTTTATACCAACAATCGTGTATCTCCTTCATCAGCAGCCACCTCCACCTTGAGCAATGACATCTTCCTTATCAGCATAACATCTTCGGCAAGACAAACACCTCTCTAAGGCAACAGTTGTCGCGGGCCATCAATAGTTCCACCGTGAGCTGCCAATAGGACCGTCAACCAGCAACACCCCCATTCAGCCTAAGGAAGCTTCTTCATTCCTTCTCTCCTGCATCTTATCTCTTGTTGCATGCAGGATGTGAATTAATTCATGTCTTACAAATAAAAACCAAGATGAGCTTTTAGGCTAACCAAGATAGCTGGGTGAGGTCAAACCCATATATATATACATATAAAAAAATTTTTTGGGTCCATTGCCCTTTTTCCTTAATAATTTTGTTTAATATCAGTATGTAGACTTAAATTATAAGATACAGGCCCGGTATAAAAAATATTTGTTTTTTCTTCAAAATTCCCAAAAAAATCCAAAAATCCACTTCTTAATAATGAAACTAAAAATAAAAAGTTTTATATCAAAGAGTAAAAAATAAAAAAAAATTAAGAAACCGAGGAGAAAAAAAGAGTTATGATGTTGCGATGTCGTGGTCGCACAAATTAATTACCCTAGCTTAAAACACAACACACAAGATAGTATAGAGCAAGCAAGGGGTCGATCCCACAAGGAAGATTTAGTTCAGATTTTTATGCTATACGTTATGCAATTGGGGGGTTTTGATTTGTGATGATCTAAACTATGGAAGAAATTAAACTAGCAAACAAAATCAATTGAAATCGAAATTTATCAAGAAAACAAACCTTGGTTGCAAGCACACATCCACCAATTGAAATTAGAACCGATCCTTGAAACAAAACTACAATTTATATTCTGAATTTTTATCTTTTCTTAATGTTGGTTAATTAACGGATCCGCCGTATAATTAACCCTAACCAACAAATAATCACAATGTCCGCATTAATGATTTAGTTCAATGGCAACCCTAAGAACTAGATATTTGAGT